AAGGGGAAATGGGGAATCTGATAGTCCGCTCACTCACAGCATAGTGGCAAACCAGAGCTTTTTTAGAATCAGTTCATTTTTAATTTCCTCATTTACTCAAGATTTAAACCAATTTCTTAAGCATGATAATACTGGTATCCAGGATACTTTACTGGTCTACTTATAGGACTCAAAAATGAACTTAAGGGAGAGTCTACAAAACTCTCTGCTTTGCCACTATGCTGCACAGTGGATGTTGTGTAGAAAAAGTGGTCTTTGTGGATCAAAATAATATATGAACCTTCAAAATTAGAATTCCACATTACCCTACCTAATTTTTTTATATAAGAAGAAGAAAAACAGCCTATTGAGCCTACTTTTACCGATGATTTTTTAAACCATCATATAAATTAAAAAAACAGTCATTTTTACACTGATGAGCAATCTTAGGAAAGAAACTTCAGCCCAATACCTATTCCATTATTAGAAATTGGAAGCCAAAAGTGTAAGTTTGTAAGTTGTAACTGTAGCCCTGTAAGTCTGAATTCTGTAACATGTCATGATCATGATGATGTCATATCATTATAATATAGGGCTAGGCCTATGCTATGATGCAATGGTGATATTGGTATAATGAATTTGGTGCTTAGAATTTCAAATATTGTACAGATCTTATTTATTTATTGAAAAAGTTTATTTATTATACTAACCTGAATACCTGATAATATTACATAATGTTATAATTTTGTAGAAGTACGAGCTAAGGAGCTCACCTTTAAACCACCGTTTTAGGACTTCCAGCCTCAAAAAAAAAAAAAACATAATCTGCAATTCGCCAAGTTCAAACAGTCAGGCTATTCCGCAAAAGCTGGAATTTTAAAAACATGAGATATTTGATTCCTCAATTAGGAAAATAATTGTTACTTGTATTCAACTTGGAACAAATTTTATGAATAAAAAAATTCGACTCTTTCTCCAGTCAAACATTCATTAATGCATTCACCACGAAGTGGACACAATTACCAATTGCTATATACAAACGTCGACATAGATATTACAAAACATCATTGAAATTTCAAATTTGCTTTTCAAAGGTAATGATAAATTATGAAAACTATAGCACGATGTGGGCAGCAATGAAAGATAAAAACTGTGTTGGACGCATGCCATGAGAAAAACATTAAAATTTGAGACTCCTAAAGTTATCAGGGTGCCAACGCTGCGCTTGTTGTTATCAGGTGCCTGCTTTTTAATTTTTATTGTCATCAGATGCGGGTGTTGCAGGTGTTACTCTCTAATTCGGGAGTTGCACGGGTTTCATTCACATGGAGGCGTTGCACGGTTTTCATTCTGATGAGGGCGTTGCACGTTACTTTCAGATGCTAGCGTTGTAAGATTTAATTTAAGAAGCAGGCGTTGCATTTTTTCTTGTTAAAAAATGATATATTCATTGGTCTTATATTAATAAGTACTCATTTTTTAGCCAGAACATTTGATGCGGGAGATGTTAAGAGCCAACGTGCATTTATAAAAACCCTTTGATGTCGGCGATGTTAATGCAGAAGTCAGCGGGGGAATATTAACTTTTCCCACTGCCCCCATATAATCTTAGTGGGGAGGGTGGAGCAATTGGGGGAGGAGTTGGGTGATTGAGGAGTGTAAATTTTGAGTGTTAGGTTATGAGCGACCTTACGATCACCGTACAACTTACGATCACTGTACAACTTACGATCGCCGCACAACTTACGATTACTGCGCAACTTACGATCACCGTACAACTTACGATCACTGTACAACTTACGATCGCCGCACAACTTACGATTACTGCGCAACTTACGATCACCGTACAACTTACGATCACTGTACAACTTACGATCGCCGCACAACTTACGATTACTGCGCAACTTACGATCACCGTACAACTTACGATCACTGTACAACTTACGATCGCCGCACAACTTACGATTACTGCGCAACTTACGATCACCGTANGTAGATTAAAGTTCACATCCATGTAGGGAAGGTAAAACATAAAAATAACTGTAACTTTTATTTACTGTATCTAACCCTGGGGTAACCCATACTAATTCGGTTAGGTTAATTGCAATAAAGTTGCATTTATATGTTTTAAAAATGTTTTATTATCATTAAATGTTAATGAGTAAATCACAATAGCAGAACAATAAATATTTAGAGATTTCCAATAACTTTGGCCATTGTAGCGGCTAATGTAGCGGCGCTACATTTTACTGTAGCGGTAGCGGTAGCGCCCGTTACAATCTAGTGGGTGTAGCGCTAGCGGTAGCGCCCGCTACATTTAGAGCATGTAGCGGTAGCGCCGCTACATTTCCAAGTGGCGCTGCCCAGCTCTGTCTATAATTATATCCTACTTAATATCCTACATAAAATCCTACTTAATAGCCTACGTAATTTAAGCTATTAAAAATATCCTACAAAGTATGATCAATAATTCTCCCCATAAACAAAACCTTAATTCGTCTAAGCTGAAAACTTAGTTAGGACTGAGAAGAACTCAGTCGAGGAGCAAAGAGTTCGGTCAAGAGAAAGAAACAATCAATCAAGCGCTCTGTCCTGCGACCAGAGAACTCAGTCGAGAACTTCAGTCAAAAAAGCAAAAGACTCAGTCAGCCTGGCTATAAGCAAGAGAGCACAGAACTCAGTCAAGAAAGCATAGAACTTGGAGTAAAAAATCCAGTTAACCCAGCCACGAACTCATTTGAGAACTAGTCAAGCGAGCATAGAACTCAGTCAAGAACTCAGTCAAGAACTCAGTCAAGTACTCAGTCAATCGAGAATAGAACTCAGTCAAGAACTCAGTCAAGTACTCAGTCAATCGAGAATAGAACTCAGTCAAGAACTCAGTCAAGAACTCAGTCAAGAACTCAGTCAAGAACTCAGTCAATCGAGAATAGAACTCAGTCAAGAACTCAGTCAAGAACTCAGTCAAGAACTCAGTCAAGTACTCAGTCAAGCGAGAATAGAACTCAGTCAAGAACTCAGTCAAGAACTCAGTCAAGAACTCAGTCAAGAACTCAGTCAATCGAGAATAGAACCTGTCTCTTATACACATCTAGATGTGTATAAGAGACAGGCACTCAGTCGAGTGACGTTGTGGT